ATTATATTTTTTCTATATATTAGTTTTTTTCTAAATTAAGATGTTCAAGAAAATATATATCAGGGTCTTAATTCCCAGAAAAATGTGGTTGGGGCCAGACATGAATATTTAAAAAAAAAACAAACCGCTCTAGGTGATCCTGAACCTCTGTTACTGTCCTCAACTCTTTTCTTTCTTTCCAAATTTCAACCAAACACTGAATTTCTAGTTATTTAGGATTTAACATAAGATAGGCACTAGGTCAATTGCTCTTTATGCATCATCTCATCTTTCTTGTCCTACTCATTGAGGTAGTAATATTAGCTTCCCACTTTATTTATTTACTATTTTTTATTTTTAAGAAAATGTATTTTATTGATTATGCTATTACAGTTGCCCCATTTTTTCCCTTTCCTTTATTCCCCTTCACCCTGTACTCTCCCTGCCACCAGCATCCTTCCCTGCCCCTTAGTTCATGTTCATGGGTTGTACATATACGTTCTTCAGCTTCTCCATTTCCTATACTATTCTTAACCTCCGCCTGTCTATTTTGTACCTACTATTTATGCTTCTAATTCCATGTACCTTTTCCCCCATTCTTCCCCCTCCCCCTGCCCTCTGATCTCCATTTCTGTGATTCTGTTCCTGTTCTAGTTGTTTCCTTAGTTTGTTTTTGTTTTTTTAAGGTTCAGTTGTTGATAGTTGAGAGTTTGTTGTCATTTTATTGCTCATAGTTTTTGATCTTTTTTTTTTCTTAGATAAGTCCTTTTAACATTTCATATAATAAGGACTTGGTGATGATGAACTCCTTTAACTTGACGTTATCTGGGAAGCACATTATCTGCCCTTCCATTCTAAATGATAGCTTTGCTGGATAGAGTAATCTTGGACGTAGGCCCTTGCCTTTCATGACTTGGAATAGTTCTTGCCAGCCCCTTCTGCCTGCAAGTTTTCTTTTGAGAAATTAGCTGATAGTCTTATGGGAACTCCTTTGTAGGGAATGTCTCCTTTTCTCTTGTTGCTTTTAAGATTCTCTCTTTACCTTTAATCTTGGGTAATGTAATTATGATGCGCCTTGGTGTGTGCTTCCTTGGGTCCAACTTCTTTGGGACTCTCTGAGCTTCCTGGACTTCCTGAAAGTCTTTTTCCTTTTCCAGACTGGGAACGTTCTCCTTCATTATTTTTTTCAAATAAGTTTTCAATTTCTTGCTCTTCCTCTTCTCCTTCTGGCACCCCTATGATTTGAATGTTGGAACGTTTAGTTGCCCTGGAGATTCCTAAGCCTCTCCTCATTTTTTTTGAATTCTTGTTTCTTCATTCTGTTCTGGTCCTGTTTTTTCGTTCTGCTCCAAATTGTTGATATGAGTCTCAGTTTCTTTCCCTTTACTGTTGGTTCCCTTGATATCACTTTGCATAGCCTTCACTTCTTCCTCTATTTCACGACCATACTCAACCATTTCTGTGAACATCCTGATTACCAGTTTTGAACTCTGCATCTATTAAGTTTGCTATTTCTTCGTCCTTTAGTTCTGTTTTTGGAGTTTTGATTTGTTCTTTCATTTGGGCCCTATTTTTTTGTCTTGGCGTGCCTGTTACGTTGGAAGGGACAGAGCCTTAGGTATTCGCCAGGGCAGGGCTACCCAGGTCTCTGTGTTGTGGTGCTTTTTGTTGGGGAGGGTTTGGAGAGGGAACAGTGTCACTTGCCCAGCTCTTGGCCGGCTTTCAGTGACTTCCCCTGCTACCCACAAGCAAATTGGGCCCTCCTGGTGCTGATTCCCGGGTGGGTGGTTTGTGTACATTCTAGGACCCTGTGAGTCTCTCCAACAGACTCTCCTGTGAGGCTGGGAGTTTCTCCTGCTGCTGCAACTCCTACACGTTTTTACAGCTATAGGTTTTGAGGCTTTCTTTTCCCGCACTGGAACCCTGGTTGTGCGGCCTGTCTTGCTCCCCTGTTGTTCCTTTTGGTTTATCCACACGCAAATGTGGGACCCCCTGGTCCTCCAGCCGCCGCCTTGCCTGCCTTAGTCCTCCAGCCACTGTCTTGCTGCACGTCTTCTCTGCCCGGCTGCTCATTTCCACCCCTGGCTGCCTGTCAGCCCGTCCTGCTGGTCTGGATGAAAGTTTCTTCTTTAACTCCTTGGTTGCTGGACTTCCACACAGTTCTATTTTCTGGCAGTTCTGGTTATTTTTTGCTTTTAAATTTGTTGTGTTCCTTCTTTTGGCTGTGAGAGAAGGCAAAGTGTACTGACATACGCCTCCATCTTGGACGGAAGTTAGTTCCCCATTTTATAGTTGAGAAAACTGATGTTCGATGAGATGAATATGGCAAAACCTTATATTTCTAGTAAAGCTAGGAGCTGAACTCGGTGGGGTTTTTTGGAAAGATTTTATTTATTTATTTTTAGAGATGGGGAAGGGAAGGAGAGAAACATTGATGTAAGAAACCCCCATCTGTTGCCTCCCCGACGTGCCCCAACTAGGGACTGAACTACAGCCCAGGCATGTGCCCTGACCAGAAATCAAACTGGTCACCCTTTGCTTTGTGGGATGCTGCCCAACCAAGTGAGCCTCACTGGTCAGGGCTAAGTGGTTTGTTTGTTTTGTTTTGTTTTCTACATTGTGATACCTTTGGCTCTAAGTAAAAGAAAACTTAAAGTCACCTAAACAGTAATGAAGTTATTTTACAGGAAACAGTTGGTTATTTCGGTGTCTCTACATTACCATCAAGGACCCAGGCTTTTCTATTCTGACACCCGCCCTTGATGTATTCAGGCTTTGTCCCCAGATTAGGTTTCACGATGCCTGCCAAAGTTCCATCATCACATCCACAGAACTTCTAGAGGCAGGAAAAGACATCATTCCGTCTTGTCCATCTTTTTCTTTTTAATTCATTGTGCCTCTCTTTTAAGAGCAAAGAATCTTTTCCCAGGACTCTCTCTCATCCCAGACTGCCTCTCGTGTCGCCAGAATGCCTCAAGCTTATGCTAGCCTATCATTGGCAAGAGGTATGGGACCACTATCATGGGCTTATATTAATCAAGACTCACTTCTAGGGCTGGCTTCAAGCTTCCCTGAAGTTGCTGGCTGCTCGGCAAAACAAAATGAAGATCCCATTAGGAAAAATGGACACGGGGGCAGGGAATAGGTATGAGGTACGCAACCAATGGTGTCTGCTACAGAACCCAGACGTCCAGGTTGTTAACCTTGACACACTACTGCTATTCCTGGTTCTCCCTGCAGCTCCCGCCCTCACTCCAGCACAGTGATTTTCAAGCAGTGTGCCACAGGGTTTTTAATGCACACAATACCTGACTATTTAGTCCAGGGCACTGACCTCTTTTCCCTTAGACTGTCAAATAAAAAAATGATGACAGCCAAGAAAATAGTTGTCAGGTGTCAATGAATCAAAATTATACATTTTTTTGGTCATATCAGCAGAATTCTAGTTTATTTGTGCCATGAGATGAGGAAGGTTGAAAATCGCTGTTCTAACATATTTCCTTAATTGTGAGCCAAGTGCCCTACAACTCTAGCTCTAAATGACAGACACCAAGGCTGTCCTTGCAGAACAGTGCAGAATATGAAATGCATTCCTCAGGACCCAGTGCTCTTGGGCAACCCCTGAGAAGTCAGGGGTGTGCTTCGTTGGAGCAGGCACTATCACAGGCTGGGGCTGGGGAGAAGAGCAGAGGCTCCTTGGAAAGGCGGACTGGCTTGGCCTTGATTGACTGGGCCCCAGAGCTGAGTTCTCCACTCTCTCTGAGATCTGGTCTTCCTGGTCTGTCGTTCGCTTAGAATCGATTTCTTTTTGTAACATATTCTAATTTGCTCCCTGGTCTTAAACCCCAACATTACCCTTATATTTATTTCCTTTGAACTCTCACAATAAAAAAAAAACAACCTGTATCCACTGGATTTGCTAACCATTCATTGATTTCCTGTATGTATTAGAAGCTTAAAGACAATACTAGACAACAGGAAGGAAGTTAAATTTTAGCAGCTGTGTGCCAAGTTGTTTCACACACACTGTCTGACTTTGTCCTTAATAGCACCTTGGCAGGTTAGGTTATATTAACTCTCACGTTAGAGGTTAGAGAATCCAGAAGTGAAGTCATCTGCTCAGAGAAGGTAAGGTCAACTCAAGGGCACAAGCTATTAGGAGCCCATGACTGCCTGACCTCATGCATGTGCTCTTGTCACTACCACATCATCTGGGTTCATGGTCTTTATTGCTACAAAAATATTTGCATACATTGATTTGAGCCTCACAACAGTAGCAGGGTGAGTAGTGGTATCCGTGTTTTATGAACAGTAGTAGGGTTTAGAGATACTAAATTACTTGCCCAAAGTCATGTGAAGCGTAGCCTTTCTGCCTACATAGTACACGTTCTGCCATAACGAAGTGTGCCTAGCAGAGAGCAGCGTACCTGTTGAATGGGTAGTGATCCAGGTTATAGTAGGTGTGCAAAAAAAAAAAAAATTGTTAAATTATACTATTGAAAATTTACAATGTCACTGCCTAGATGTCTCTAGTTTCCTTTTTTCCCCTGTTGCCTCCCCTCTGGGCTCTCCTCAGAGACCCCCTTTTCCCAAGGAACTCTATCACCTTTAATCAAGACTCACAAAGAGCAGAATCCACATCTCCTCAGTCAGGTGCTGAGAGGGGGGCTTAAGAAGGAAGGGCCCTCTTTTGAGATGCAGCTGAATGGACCTAACAGTTTTTGCTCTCCCTCTTCCCGCTTCAGGACTTCCTTGGCTCCTGGAGTGGGGAGGCTTGTTCTGAGACGTTTTCTAGCTCCCAGGTGGTAGAACTGCATTTGTTCTGGAGTAGACAGACCTGTGAGCCTCTGTTCTCCTGTTCCTCCGGCCTTGGCCTTGGCAGTCATCATACTAGTACCCTGTCCCATCTCTCCTCCCTTAACCCCGCCCCTGCCTCTAGCTCCACCCCATAGCCCTGGACACAGTGTCCACAGCCCAGAGCCTCTGCTCAAAGGGAAACAGAAGGGACTGCCTGTGTTCCCATGGCTATGGCCAGCACCTTCATACCGGGGCTGAGCCCTCAGAATCCTCATTATATCCCAGGGTAAGACTTCTACCCAGAGCACAGCCCTGCTTGCTTCTGGGAATAGGGGTATAGGGATGTAGGAGTTGTGCCACCTGCATCGTGGGGGCCAAGTGGACATGCCTATACAGGAGGCACAGGGCTGGGATATCTATGGTGCTGGATAGAAAAGGAAAAGCAAGGAACAGTGGGAGCAGGGCCTGCCACAAAGCTTTGTGTTGTCTTCTCCATGGTAACAGGGTAACAGCAGAGGGGACGGCTTGCAAACCCAGACAGAGAACTGAGAAATGCCTGCTCCAGATATATGCACAGCTGAGTCCAGAAAAGATCAGTGCTTTTAGAGGTCTCTGCTTCTGTTTCTGGGGAGGGTGGGGCAGGGGGATTGTAGAGGTGAGTGGGTGCGTCCCGTGCTACAGGTACACAGGACACTGCCCGCTACTTCGGTTCAGCATGGGCCAGACCTATGGGCAGACGACTGGTCAGCTACTTCGAGGTGCTCCTGGCCTAGCCTGGCCCCCTGCTCGCCGCACACTTCTGCCTCCCATTCAGCCTCCAAGATCTCCCGAGGTTCCCAGGGGAAGCCTGCCTGTCAGGCGTGGGCACAAAAGGCTCAGTTCCAGCATGATCCCTGGGTACACAGGTATGTACACAAGTGTGAACAGATGCCCCATCCCAGAACGTGTGTCCCAAACACTAACAGAAACCTTCCCGCCCCCTGCCCACCTAGGTTTTGTCCCCCAGGCACAGTTCATCTTTGCCAAGAACTGCAGCCAGGTCTGGGCTGAGGCTCTGAATGATTTTACTCAGTGGCATGGGGGACAAGGGAATCAGGAGCTACCAAAGGAGGTCAAGGGAGAAGACGTGGAAAAAGACCAAGAGCCAAAGCCTAAGTCAGAGCTGGAGGAGGAGGAGGCAGAGCTGGGGCAGGAGGCGGGACAAGTAAGACTGAGAAGGTGGTGGGGGCAGGGAGTACAGTGTGGTGGAGTGGGAGCCCCGCCTCTGAGTAGGCGGGGGGTGCGGGGCGGGGGGCGGGGGGACACCGGCTTAACCGCTGCTCCACCTCCCTGGGAGCTGGTGTTTGTGCACGGGGCTGAACTTGATAGCCTATTTTTCTTCTGTCAACTTCTGTCACAAGGCTTCCCTCTATTCCATGGATGACAGAGACCCTCACAAGTTCTTCATGTCAGGTGAGGGGAGGTGGGTAACAACCACAGGTGTGGGGAGGCCCCCAGGAGGTCCTGACTCAGAATCCACATCCCTCAGGTTTTACTGGTTATGTGCCCCGTGCCCGTTTCCTCTTCGGCTCCAGCTTTCCTGTGCTCACCAACCAGGCACTGCAGGAATTCGGACAGATGTACTCACGGGGCAAACCCCAGAAGGGTCTCAAACATCTCCCCCCACTTTCAAGGACCTACCCTCAGAACCTGGGCCTTTTACCTCATTATGGGGGCTATGTGCCAGGTGAGGAAGGCCCCAGAAGGAGGCTTTTGGGGCTGGAATATTTGTGTGTGGTGGGAGGAGGGGAGAGAAAGAGATGTAGGTGGAGGGGTTGGAACTAATAAATATGGAGGACCTTGGATTATGTAGTTCAACTTTATCATTGGGCAGAAAAGGAAACTGAGGTAGATCACAGAGGGGAATTAGGACCAGATTTGGGAAGGCAGTTTGGAGGGTCTTGTCAACTGGCTGAGAAATAAATGGCTTTTCCATGCCGTTAGCTACAAGTGACAGACTCTCTTGACCGCACAGGCTATAAGTTCCAGTTTGGCCGCACATATGGGCATCTCACCCAGGATGCTCTGGGCCTCAGCACCTTCCAGAAGCAGGTTGTGGCGTAGACACCTGGACTGCAAGTTCTCTCTTCCCTTTTCATCTATCCCAGCCGTCCTTTTGGAAGAGAGAGAGAGGGGCTGGAGGGTGGGGGGAGGCACAAAGAGAATGGTTTGGAGGCCAAGCACCTTTTTTATTAATAGGTGTAATAAATAAATAAATAAATACATAAACAGAAGCCTGGGCTCCTCTTCCCTCCTCTGACCGCCAGGCACTGGCCGCAGCCTATTTACATCTGGGAACTTAGGGATCTGCCCCTGGACTAACACCCACCATCATCACCGCTTGGCCTAGGGGGCCCTGCACCCACGGAAAGGCAGGCCCGGATGGGCCGGGGAAATGCTGGCAGCCTGGTGCTGCGTCCCTCCCCTCCTTTCCTGGGTGGAGGTCTGGACGAGGTCACTGGCACAGTTAAGGGGGAGTAATTAATACTGAGCACAGGGATAAGTGGCCCCAGCTCTCGGTCTGCTCTGTAGCCAAGCCAGAGGGCTTGGGAAGGGCTCTCAGGCTCTGAGTCTGGGGTTTATGAGGGTCCCTGAGGCCACCAGCATGCACAGGGCCTCAGTTTTGGCTGCTTCCAGGAGTTGAACTTGGAGTTGGGGTCAAGGTCACATAGGCCAGAGGCACCAGGCCAGTGTCAGGGCCACGACTACAGCGCAGCCAGTCCCCTCCGGCTGGCCCCAGCACTCGAAGGATATCTCCCTTGTGGAAGCTCAGCTGTCCGGGGCCTGTGGCCAGATGGTGGCACAGCGCCTTTACTTCGCTGGAAAAACAACAACGGGAGGTCAGAGTAACCCCACCCAAAACCAAACCCAGCCCCCCAACCCTCCGTCTCCCAGAGCTCACCACGGAGGTTTGGAGGGCAGGGCTGGAGAGTGTGGCTCCTGCGGGCTCTCCCTGGGCTCTGGTTCCCGGCGGACACCCACCGTCTGTGCCACTAGTTGGAACATGGACTTGTCCAGACTCAGCCAGTCCGATGGTAGCCTGGGGAATGGCAGTTGGGGCGCTGGCTGGCTGTGCCCTGGCTAAGATCAGGCTCCCCCACTCCCTCCACTTATACCATGGGCTACCTCTTACCTGTTTGTGGGCCGGGCTTCCCGCTGAGACTTTCGGGACCCAAAGAGGTATCCCCACTTGATGCCCCCAGGTGAAGGCCCTGAGGCTCCTTCCTCACTTTCGGTCATGGGGACAGTAGACCCCTCTCTCTCCCGACTGCGCCTCAGCTCAGCCAACACAGAATCAGGGGGGCTCCCCATCCAGAAGGGCCAGCCCCTGTCCCGGCCAAGGGTCTCCTCAGGGGCAGGGCAGGCCTCAGCTCCCTCTACCACTCCCTCTCGGGGTGGTGGTCCCCCACCTCCTGCCCCTTTCTTTTTCTCACTGCTGCTGCTACTGCAGCTATTGTTGCCACCACGGGGGAACCGAGAACCCTCAGCGGAGCCATCGATGTAGACCTGGGAGCTCTGCATGAGCTGGTACCACCAGCCAGCCTGCCCGCCTCGGGCCCTGCCACGCCCTGAGCCCCCGGCTGCCTCTGCCACCTCTTCTGTCTCCTCTTCTTCCTCTTCATCTTCTCCACCTTCTGGGGCGCCCACGCCTTTCACCCGTTCCCCTTGGGCTGCCCTGTCCATGTCTCCAGGGCCCTCCTGGCCCCGGGCCCGAGCCAACTGCAGTGTTGAGTGGGCGGACAGCAGTAGGTCCTGGGACACCCGCAGCAGTTCCTTGTGCTGCCGCTGCTGCTGCCCACTTTGCAGCAGCCGGTGCTGGAACAGTAAGTCGAGGCTGAAGGGCAGCAGGGCCAGGGGTTGTAGCAGCAGCAGCAGCTCCTCAAAGAGGCCAGGGCACACGGTATGTGCTGCACTCAGGAAGCCCCATGGCTGGTAGTGGGTCTGGATGATATCTAGGGGAAAAGGGAGAGGGACTGAGCCAAAGAAACAGAGCCTGGCCTGGGGTGGGCCTTTGAAAGGTAACCTGGGCAGTCACTGCGTCGTGCCGCACAGGCTGTGTACTGTGCCACTTAGAGGAACTACAGTGGTAAACCATTCCTGAAGTTGTGCAGCGCATTAACTCCACAACCTGAAGAAAGGTGTTGGGCTTCCTGACCACCTGACTTGCAGGTTGCCTGCGTATCCTCCCAACTGCAAGGCTCTAACACAGCAGAAGCCAGGGGAGGACTTGGGTAGAAGCCCAAGCTTTGAGGATGAAAGCTTGTGCGGTTCCCCTCTCCACCTCTAGCATCTGAAAAGACAGCTGTGCCTCCCTCTTTTGAGCCTCTGAGGTCTGGCCTATACTGAGTTTGCAATACAGGGCAGGGCTCTGGGCATTACCTTCATGGTTATAGAGGTGATTGAACCAGAACTCCAGGGACCGGATGCTGTAGGGAGAGAGGTGAAAAGAGTTGAGTCTTATGTGGACAGAGCCAGATGACAAGGTACAAAGGAGAAGGACATACAGGACAGACTATAGCTGGGCATCTCTCTTCTCCCTTTTATATGAGGGATGCTACCTGGTTCATTTAATGTCACATAGTTCTGGAGAGTCAGTGGGGATGGAGGGAGGGGGTGAACATGTGATTCACAAACCAATCACTTTGTCCTAGAATGGCGTCATCTTGTACAAGACCCAAGGAGGTCAGGGCAAGTACTGAGTACGGAGCCAAAGGGGATGACCTGGGCCCACACTTGAGAAAGAGTACTATGCCATGGGTCCCAAGGAGGACTTAGGGGGAGGCAAGATTTGGAAGCAGTGCTGGAATTGAGAGGATCAGGGTTTACAACAACCAGAGAAACAGAGAACCAGATTAATTTCCAAATAATCCAGACTGTGGATTTGTAAAAGCAGAAGACCACATTGGTGTCAGTGCCAGAGGGTTGTGGGTGTGGTGGGAAACCAGTGACCTACCGAGAGAGGCGGTAGCTAGGTGGGGAGGAAGTGAGCCTGGGCTCTGGCCACGGACCCCACAGACCCCCTTTCTGTCACAGTCTAGGGAGCTGCTTCCTTGGAGGAAGCAGAGCCCAGGGGAGAGGGTCGCTGGCTTACAGATCTTGCTGCGCTACCACACACTCACTTGAGCAGGCCAAGGATGAAGGCGTTGAAGCGCATGGTATGACTGGTGAGCTCTGGGAATTGGCTGACTTTGTTGTAGAGGCCGTGTAGGACCTTGGTGGATGGGCCTGGGAGAAAGCCGGAATTGAAGGTCACATGCTCAATCTCTGGAGCCCTAAATTCACCCTGGGGTCCCCATCTTGCGCCCAGCACTTACCTAGTTGTGTAGAAGCCTCAACCACACTCCACGGCATGTTCTTACGTTGCCCGATGATGACGTCTAGCACAAAGGCCTTGAGCCCATCCTCCAGCACGGCCCGCACCGCAGGGCACAAGTACTTCAGAACCAGATGGCCTACATTGGGGCTAACAGAGCTGTTCCCCAGCTTTGCCTGTGGATGCAGTAGGGAAGTACAGGGAATCATCTTAAGTCCAACCCTGGTCCTCTTTGACCCTCTTAGCCCTCATGGTGCTTCTCTTGTGATCCCCATCCCTAGGTATCAACTCTAGGTTCTAGATGCAGGAGAGCAAGGGAAGGTGGCAGCACAGGGAAGGTGAGGGTTGGCAGGGCACAACTCAGACCTCTACAGTTTCTTTCCTACCTTCACCCCAGGATCCCGGCTTGTGCCAAAATGGGCCACAATGAGGTCTACCGCAGTGTTAACAGCTTTCACCAGGCCTGGAAGCAAGAATTTGATGTAACAGGTCCTTGAGCAAGTCTCTGGGCAACCCAGCTGGGACTCAGTCCTCGGTGGGAGAGGCAATGGCTTCCATACATACACACTCTCTTTCTGTCCCTGCACGTGGGTCTCATCGGTACCAGGCCCCGGCCCCTGCCGAAGTTTGCCCAGCTCTCAAGCCCATTTTCACCTCCCAGCCTGGAACTACTTCAATGATTCCATTGTTGAGACCCTCAAAGTCCCAACTTCTGTCCGCTCTTACTCCTGGATCAATCTATTTGTCTTCTCCACTCTGAGACTCCAGGCTACTGGCTAAAGGCCAGGGCCACTCACACCAGTGACTGACAAGGGCACTTCTCTGAAGTGTGCCTTGTGGCACCCTCAGATAGGCTTTCAAGCTGCCATGCCAAATCTTTACCCCTCTTCTCAAGCCCTTGGTTCTACTTCACACAGAGAGCAGGGGCCACTGGCCATGAATTCCTTCAACTTTCCTCTCCGTTCAGAAGACATAAGTATATTCTCTGCTCCCTCCCTCCTACCCGTTCCCTCGAGCTCCCCTTCCATTTTGGAGGAAGGTGGCTCTTCCCCGTCTTGCCCAAGGTTCTTTCCTCTCCCTAAGCTCAAGAATTACCAGGGGGGTTTTAGCTTCATCTTTCTTCCTTTTAGTAGGCTCCTTCTCCCTCAGTCCATAATTATGCCCAATATTTTCCCATCATCTCACCGAAACTGCTCTCTCATGGTCTCTCATTTGCTAAACAGAGTGATTCCTTGCCAGTCGATCTTACTAGAAGTTACCGTCATGTTTACCCAAGCTTCTAGGCCCTGTAGCAATTGAATTTCCCCCATCGGAGCATCTGGGCATTTATTTATGACATGCAGTCTCCCTCACCATACTTAGCTCCCGGAGGGAGGAGACTAAAGTCTGACTCCAAAGCCTCTGATAAATGACCCTGCTCACTTGCACATACTCACAGTACACAGTACACAGACTTCTCGCCTCCATGTCTGTGCCCTCTAATTCCTTCTTGGCACTTGGAACTCTAAGACAGGGAAATATTCTGGAGGCCAGATAGCAGGGCGATAGGCACAAATAGGGAGTGACAACAACATTCCCGGCCTGAGCTGGGGGTAATATCCACCTTTTTTCTGAAGCAGGTCAATGGAAATGGCTTCTGAGTTGCCATCTGGGGACAGACAAAACTCAGCTGGCGGTTTCTCAGTCAAGGAAAAAGGATCTTGGAAGTCAGGGCAGGTCAGTGGTAATGGCTTAACTATTTGACCTGGAAAGAAGAGAGAAACATCAGTCCCAAGCAACTTTCTTTCTAAGAGTTGCAGCTCAATTCTGTGTCTTCTACCCTCTGAGGCATTTTCCTTTGAGACTGGCCCCTTCTCTAGCCCTTCCCTGCTACGGCAGAGCCTGTCCTGGGAGTACCGGGGACTTGGACCACACACCATTGAGCCGGCAGTTCAGGTGGCCAGCAGCACTGAGGGAGCCAGGGAACTCAAAGATGGGGTTCCTTCGGGCCAGCCGAGCGTCCTGTGGCCTTCGGTCTAGGCTCCCCGACAAACCAGGTGGCCCTAGTGGGTTCTTCCTCCTGTATTCCCGCCACTTGAGTGCTTGAGGGGATAGGTGGTTGGCTGAAAGCAGAAGAGATTAGTGGAAGAGACAGGCAAGAATTACCAGGAGACAGCATGTCATATCCACCCAGTGGGCCCATATAAAACATGAGATTTAGGAGTGAGCGCATATTATCCACAGATGCTGCAACCATTTTGACTCTGACCCCAGGCTGGAGTATAAGAAACAATTCAAAGGCAGGGGGACGGGGGCCAAAGTGTTCAGGGGCAGGCTGTGAAGCTCATACCATTACCAGGCCTGGAGGCCATGTTGCCTTCACCACCTCCCCGGGCCAGGCTCTCTGCTCGACTGAGGCTTGATCTCCAGGAGCCCAGAGGAGGCAAGCTTCCTGTTTCATGGAGTCGGTACTCAGCCAAGGTCAGTATCTTCTGATCCTCCTTCTGTGGCTGCTGGGAGGTGGCAGGCTGGACAGCAGGACAGGAGAGACTCCATGGGGGTGGGCTTTTTGTGGCTGTGCCCTGCTCAGGGGGAGGGGAGCACGAAGTGGAGGCAGAAGAGTCGGTGCTGAGCCCAAAGGGGCCAGCACTACGGATAGGGGAGTAGCTGCCCAGGGGTGACGGTCGCGAGGTTTCTGGCTCAGGCCCAGCTTTCCTGGCACCTCTGTTGGTGGATGCTTGTGACTCCCCTGAAGGAGCTGCAGCAGGGACTTGAGCAGCGGGGACAGCCAGTGGGGCAGGCTGCTGTGCACGGCTGCAGCCCGAGAGGCTGTAGAGCTGGGAAAGGCTGTGGAGGGCCCGGGCCTTGGACAACTGCTTGGGGAAGTGGTGCTGGAACACGAAGGGCTGGATGGGCAGCGTTGTTGGCCTCTGCTCCTTGCTGTAGCGAAGGACTGGTCGGCTCTCAGCACCACCTCCTGTACCAACAGGGATGGAAAAGGACTCAGATGGACAGACACTGAAACCAGATGAAAGGAAACGCAGAAGCGGACAGGAGATGGTGCTTACTGGGAAAGGGGGAGAGACGGGCAGGACCTGGGCTGTGGGAATTGGACGGGGTGGTGGTAGTCCAAGCCTGTGGAAGATGGCGCTGTTCTTTTATAAAACTTTTTCTATTGTTTTTATGATACTGAACTGTCCTGTATTCTTGGCTGTTTACCCATCCTTAATTTTCTTGACTTCAAAGGTGGCTGTATCTTAAGGCCCTGCATTATTCAAGTTCAGACATTCATACAGATGACTCCTCAACCCACAGCTTTAGCCCTGGTCTTCCTTTTGCTCTTTAGATCATTCTGCTTCAGGGTTTTGCCTTCATATAAAATTTGCTATTTGCAAATAGCTCATCTGTCACCTCCCTCCTGATGACTTCCATTTCTGTTGGTGGCAGAACCACCATTTTTCTGTTTCTAAGGCCTGAAGACTTAGGGTCACAGATTTTTCTGGGTCAAGGTGTTTACTTCAAGCTTTCACTCATCGTCCCCTTTCTCCAACCAAGCAGGTACATTTCATCCTTGAGCACATCCTACTGTACTAAATATTTCTTTACGTACAGCCAGAGTCAGCCTCCTGCCTCCCATTCACCCCATCCCACTCTTTCATGATCCAGGCACTGCAGTCTCAGAGTCCACATCTGCTCCCTCTACACATGCGCGTGTTCCCCAGGAGTGGTCCTCTCCTATTCTTTCAGACAGTCTTCAGGTCAGTGTCCCGCAAAACATGGGGCTCAGAACTAAACACAAAACTCTAGGTCACTTTGTCTCCGTTGTGTGGGTTGTGCTTCTAATAAAGCACCTATTAATAAAACGCAGCGCACACTGTAAGTATCTGAATGAACGCAAGGTGGTGCTATAAGCAGCCACACAGCCTAAAACCCTGGGTGTGGCTCACTAGCACAAATCTGGCTCAACAGCTCTGTGAGGCAGGAATTACATCCTTACTTGCCGGAGGAGAATACTGGAAATTCAGAGAGAATAAGTCATTTGCCCAAGGTCACACAACTAGGAAGTGGCAGAACTGTCTAAGCCAGAGTCTGACTTTGGGGCTAATGTTTGTTGTTGTTGTTTAAAGATTTTATTTATTTAATCTTAGAGAGGGTAAGGGAGGGAGAAAGAGAGGGAGAGAAACATCAATATGTGGTTGCCTCTGAAGCACCCCCTACTGGGGACTTGGTCCACAACCCAGGCATGTGCCCTGACTGGGAATCAAACCGGTGACCCTTTGATTCACAGGAGAGGCGCTCAATCCACTGAGCCACACAATGTTCTTTTTACCACATTGCACTACACATGAAATGGTATCAGTCTGAGGTTCACTATCCGTCATCTTTTCCCATTAATTTACTTCAGTGAGTCTTAAGGAGATGGTGACCACAGCCCTATTAGGGAGGGGTTTCAGAATCGTCCCCGGGGGACATTTTCAACACCCACCTGTCATCCCCGGTCAGCACTTAGAGAGTAACCTTTGTCATTCTCCCTTGCTCACTATGCTCTAGCCATACTTCCTTCAGTCCTTAACATGCCAAGTTCATTAACACAGTGGGGGCCTTTTGCACCTGCTCTTCTTTCTGACTGAAATTTCCTCTTCATTCAGGCATCAGCTCAAACACCACCTCCTCAGTAAGACCTTCTCTGACCACCCCAGCCCCTCTGGCAAGTCACACTCTATCTCATTACCCTGTTGGAATTTTTTTTTTTTTTAGCATTTTTCACTATCAGAAATGATCTTATTTGTTTATTGTCTATTACCTCTTGTAAGGGCTCCAAAAACTGAGGTTTCAAAAACTGTTCATTGCTGTATCTCCAGTGCCGAGAACACAGCCTGGTACAAAGTAGGTACTGAATAAAGATTTGTTAAGTGAATGAATCCCCGCCGAACCTTTGGTTAAGGCTGGCCTCACTGCATCCAAAATCTGTCAGCTTGCTTCCCAAAATACCAATCCCCTGTGGCCACTACTGCCCACAGAATAAAGGCGAATCGTGTCAGGCAGGCAGGTGTCCACACTGGCTACAGAGTAGTCCCCTCTCCGCTCAAACTCCCACATGAGCGTCCTCATTAACACCACGCACCCTACCCCAGTCCCATCTTTAAGCACATTGTTTTTCCTGCTGGGAATGTCTTCTTTTCCACTTATTTAAATATCAAATTTCAAGGCTGAGCTGACCCTGGTTATCAGATTAGGTTCTCCCAACCCTAGCTTTATTACTTACACCTCCTGTACAAAGTATGTTTGAATTAGACTGTTTATTCCTACTGTTTTAAAAATTCCCCCTGCTAAGTTCCCAGGGATAGGGTTTGAGGATGAGGGAGGGGGTAGGGGGGCTACTGTGGGCAGTGGGTCTCAGCTCTACCCTCAGGGAACACATAGAGCAAGTTTACTCGCTTGTCTATGTGACAGTCCTTAAGAAACTTGGAGACAGAGACCACATTCACCCAAGGCTGCTCTCTTGTAGGTGATACAGCCCAAGTCCCCGCTTTTCTTCTTAAAATGGAGGGCCCGGAACTTCCAGGCGAGCGCTAACTGGTTGGGGGCCGGGGGTGGCTATCAGCTCCTCTCTTCTGAAGTCTGTGAATAAATCCAGTCATTTTAACTTTTTGAAACAGCCCTTTAGAACTGCTGACTCATTCTGAGTTTGCAATCAATGCAATATCCCAAATAACTCACGTAGAGCTCATACATCAAACTTTACATTGGTTCCTGCTTTATTAGTTCCTTCCAGATTTGGTAAGATCCTTCCGAATCTGGATTCTGCTATCTAAAAGATCTCAGCTGCTTCTTTTTCTCCTTAAATATTTTATTTATTTATGTTTAGAGAGAGAGGAAGGGAGGGAGAAAGAGAAGGAGAGAAACATCCAATAATGCAAGAGATATCCGTTGAATCTTGCACACCCCCAACTGGGGACCTAACCCTCAACCCAAGCATGTGCCCTGATTAGGAATTGAACCAGTGACCTTTTGGTTTGCAGGTCTGCACTCAGTCCACTGAGCCACACCAGCCAGGGCTCAGCTACTTTTGTCATTCAAGAATTCATCGAATTGTCACTCACTTTTTGATTAAAAAACCTTTTTTTAAAAAAAACAGAATCAAGAGAAGTGCCCTGTGGTAGGTCACTGGAGACTTCCGGAACAGGGTACCATCTCGATATAGAGTCTTACCTGATAGAAAAAACTTTTAATGCCTCTCCTCCTACCTCTGACCAGGATTGTTCTTGCCCTTAGAATGCCAGCCACAGGATCCCCTGTACCCAGATACACCCACTAGACACTGCAGTCTAAAATGGGAGTGGGTTCTAGAGGACCCCACTGTTCCTGACCTCCTTCTTTGCTGAAGGCCCCCTTTCTCTCCCTTTCCCCAAGACAGCTCCCCTGTGTATGTTTAGGAGTGTGAAATCTTTTGCCAGACTGTCTCCCTAATGGCAGAGATAACATTACTTATGGTTTTTAAACTCCTTTCCTTTAATAAGCCAAGAGACCCAACCGAAGGCTACAGCACATTCCCCTTTATCTCCCTTTTCCCTGCTTTATCTCCCCCTTCCTTCCATACCCTCTGAGATCTGGCTTCTGTCTTCAGCTTTTAAGATTATCAGCCTTACTCTTAGTGATTTCTCTTCAGAACTCATTTGGTTGAACCTAACGCTTTTTTTTAAACTTTCTCCTCCTTTGATTCTGTGACTTCACTCTCTCCTGGTTTTCCTTCTATTTTCCTGCCTAATTCTTCTTAGTCTCCTTTGAGGGTTGCTCTGCTCACCCTTAAATCATGACATCCCCAGGGCTCTGTCCTTGTTCCCATTATAGCTCCACACATTCTCCCTGGATGCTCTCATCCATTCATAGCTTCAACTACCACTTTCATTCTGATGACTCTCCCATCCTGGTGGTCTCCTGACCTCCAGGAGTCCTCTCCCATCTACCTTCTACTCAAACAACCAGGAATCTTTCTAATATGCAAACCAGAACAGGCTGTTATAAACAAACAAAAAAGTCACTTCCCTGATTAAAATCCTTCAGTAGTTCCATCCACATTCCACTATGGCTATATCCAATTATTTGTAGTTTCTGGACACTATCAACTTATTTTGTGCCTTTGTGGTTTTTATAGACTATTCTATGAGCCTAGAATGTTCTTACAAGTCTCCACAAAGCCAATTCCTTATTGTCTTTCTAGACTATGCCTGAATGTAAACTGTCTGAGCAGCCTTTCTCTTGACATTTCCTTCTGATGTAGATAGCCCTCCCTTTCACAGACCAGTACCGTTCACTGCATTTTAATTTCCTGTTTCCATCCTCGGTCGGAATTCCTTGAGGGCAGAGATTGTCCCTCTCATCTTTCTATCACCAGCACCCACTTACCATAGAGCCTTTGTAAAATCATTACTTAAATATTATTAAAAAAAAAATAGGGAAAGAGCGGGCCTCAGTGGTCTAAAGGTCAAGTGTCAGGTCCCAGGCTCTTTGAAGAGTGGCCACAAACACTGGTCACAGAAGGAACTTCACTGATGCCCAGTGTGGTTTGCCTGTTGGACACATCCCTTGGCTCTGAGATAAACCCCTTAAGCACTGCAAATTCCAAATTTAGTCAAAACTAAACTCATGCCTCGTCCCTTTTCCAGTAAATCAAACTGTGTTTATAGTCCCTAATCATGTATCATCATCTTTCCAGTTATCCAGGCTTAGAATCCCAGTCTTCTGACTCCTTTAAAGATACATCAGTCTGTAAGTCCTGTTGATTTTATCTCCTCAGTGCATTTTTTTAAATCCTCTAACCTCCTTCTCCCTCTTACAGCTGTAGGACATGACCTGGACTGGAAGGACGATTGATATAGGCTGAGGAACCTCTAGTGGCACGGATGAGGCGGTTGACAGGGCCCTATCACTGAGGAGGCCATGCATATATTCTGACATTCTCTAGCCTTGAGGTTCCTTACCGTCAGCTCTCGCTCTCGCATCCCTCTGGGTATGGCTGTTGGCTGGACTCCCTGGGAGAGCTGGCCCTGGATCCATCAGCTGCAACAGGGGGCCTTGCCCAGGAGCTCTTAGGACAGCAGGTGACATTTCACTGGACTGGGGGCCCTGACAAACCTGGGTGGACCAGGACTCTGGGCCAACTAAGTCCATGTCTGGCCCCAAGGGCATGGGTGGTAGGCTATGGCTACAGTGAGCACCCTCATCCAGTGAGCCCACCCTATCTTGCTGGGCTTCTTGAATGGGTGAGAACTCCTGGGAAGAATCCCCAACGCTCACTCGAAGTGGGGGGGAGCCAGAGCCTGCAGCTTTCTTCCGTCCCTTGGCGAGCTCAGCAAAGGAGGTGACCCGCCTAGGTGGGGAGCTAGGCCCAGCCAGAGCTGTGGGGCCCTCACTCAGGCGCACCGGGCAACTCAGCATGCGTTCCAGTGAGCCCAGGCGGGCAGGAGGGCTGCGCTCCAGGCTGCGGTCATAGCTTCTGGAGCGCTGACGTCCAGTGCTAAGGTTGGGGGGTGAAGTATTAGTATACACTTGCCCCTCAATCACAGTGGGGCCCACAGGAGCTGCAGCTTCCACAGAGGAACCCACTACTTCCTGTTTCTCTGGCTGGACTTCCGGCTTCTGGAATAGATAATACTCAGAGGGCTGACTGGGGCCAGGGTCTGGGCCAGAGCCAGGTACAGGACTTATCTTGGTGTGTTCCTCAGAGCAGCTGGTGATGGAAGAACCAGCAGGGCTTGGGGATGATTGGGAGGACAGGTCACAGGTGACAAGTTTATAGTAATTCTGTGTGGCCACAACAAGACGGGCCTGGCTCTGGAAACAGGCTGTGAGGTCAGCCACAGCTGGGCAGGGCTCACAGTGTGGGCGGTAGGAGTTGCAGTTGGCATCGAGCTCAGGAGATGAGGCATGAGGACAACCATAGCCCCCGTCTCTTCCTCCACTATCAGGGTGGTGGGACTCGCAAGACATCTTAGACTCAGCCGGGGAGGGTTGAAGGTCCAGGTAGAAGGCGCCAGGGTCTGAGTGGCTGCAGAAGGAAGAGTCGCTGCAAGACTGTGGCGCAGAGTTGAGATTGGCACGGGAGTTGCCATGCATCTTGTTGTAGAGGGTGCTGAAGGTGACCAGCACACCATCTGAGCTGTTGCAGGAGGAGTCACTCACATAGCCCATGGACTGGTCAGCCGCCTCAGACTGACTAGACGTGCTACTGCAGCGGCAGTGCTGGGGCCCGGAGCCTGAGCATCCTGGGTTCCGTGGGGATTCGTCTGAACTGAGCTTCCATTCCTGGTCAAAGGAAAAGCCAGAGGTATCACTGGCTCCACCTCCACTGCCACTCCCACCAGGCCCCCCACACTCATCCAGCTCCATGGTCTCTGTGTCCAGCTCTGGCTGGCAGCAGTGGTTAGTGCTGCACTGCTGGGTATCCATGGTGGTCACCGGCTCCTGTTCCTGCCCCTCCACCACTCCAGCCCGACTCCGTGCTGCTCCCCATGGCCTGCCCACTCTGTGGCCAGGTGGTGGCAGCGGGAAAGAGGATAGATGGAAGGAGGGCTGGCCAGCTCCATGCAGATGGAAGGACTGCTGGGCGGCACTATCACCAGTGCTGTCATCCTGTAAGTCACCAAGTCCTGGCTCGGCCACACCCTCCTGCAACAAGAAGGGATTATGTCGTTTAGGAGCCCCGGGGCCTCTTCCATCCAGACCCCTACTCTTGGTGTTGCTGTCTGCGGACCGCGCAGATACCCCTGGAGCAGAATGGAGACCGCTGTATAGCAGGGAGTCAGCTTGTCCTAGGTCTTGATCAGGTTGGGTTATGCCCAGCTCGGGTGGGCAGAAAGGATTGGGTCTTGTGCTCCCACTACCTCCACTTGCCCCTCCACAGCACTGCCTGTCGGGGACTTGGCAGTGCACCAGGGGGATGTGGTGAACGATGAGGGTCTCTCCAGTCAGCTTTGGGGGACTATCCATTCTGGAAAGTTCGAACAAGGGCATCAACAGCACCAGACACTGCCCCCGGAGCCCAGTGGGGCAGAACACATTTCATCAGGAGAGCTTGGCACCTAGAGAGAGGGAAAGAAAGGGAAGCTAATGTCACTTCCCTGGAAGTCTGGGATATGCCCTTCCTCATACAATTTTCAGATGGAGAAGAGCCCAAGAGGAGAAAAGACTCGGAGTCAAGATGGAGTTGATAACACAGCCCAATAAGGCACGGGTCTCCCAACACACTTTCTGCATCACACTAGTCCAGCTCTTGAGTTCCCCCTTCATTTTAAGTTTGCCATGCATCCAACTGTGACAAAAGGCCAGGCCCTACCCTGCTTTTTAAAATTCTTACCCAAGGATATGTTTATTGATTTTAGAGAGAGGGGAAGGGAGAGGGGGAGAGAAAGAGAGAGAGAAGCATAAATGTGAGAGAAAAACATCTATCAGTTGCCTCCCGTATGTGCTCTGGCTGCAAATTGTACCTGCAACCTTTTGGTGGCAGAGGTGTCCAACTTGTGCCTCACAGGCTTCATGCAGCTCAGGATGGCTATGAATGTGGCCCAACTCGAAATCATAAATTTACTTAAAACGTGATGAGATTTTTTTGGTGATTACGTGTCACAATGTAATGTGTGGCCCAAGACAACTCTTCTTCTTCCAGTGTGGCCCAGAGATGCCAAAAGGTTGGACACCCCTGGACAGGATGATGCTCTAACCAACTGAGCCACACGGCCAGGGCCTAGGCCCTTTTTAATGCCACATATGAAGATTTGGAGATCTCAGAGGCAGCTTTTCTTCTCTTTCAAGGACACCGTTCTTAGCAATAAATAGTGACTAATCCTGAGTACAAAAAAAGCATGAATAATGACATAATTAAGAGAACTCTGGGCTGTGCGATATGGTGCTAGGCACTGAGGGGATACAGAGGTGCCTTGGACACAGCTCAGCACAGAAGCTTACAGATGAGGAGAAAATCACAAATTCTATATCATGACCTCATAACAATAAGCTATAATTTTGCAAGAAAAACCTTTTTAAGTATACTATATCATTTGACCTCTCTGTCATCTCAGACTCCTCCTCCTCTAAGCCCCAGAATACTTGTCCCTCTCTGATGACTGTGGGCTAAGGATCCTCACTCTGTCTACTGCTGTATTGAAGCATCTTGAATGCAGAGACCGAGGTGGGCATTAGAGTGACTGCAAGTGTGGCTGATGCCAACCTCTTCCTTCTCAGTGGAGGTGGGGTCAATTTTTACTTCCTTTCTGTCACTCTAGCACAACATCACATAAGGCCTGACAAATGTAAGAGGGATAATACATTCTTGATATTTGTTTAGCTTGAGGTACAGATCTTCTGAAGTATGCAAATTCTGTGCAGTTTTAGCCTAGAACATTCACTACAGGGGTACTCTAGAAAGTCTTCTCTTCCAGTTTTACCTCTGATAGGCTAAGGTAAAGGTCAAGATCTCCTGGCTCGAATTTCACAGAGCCCATCCTGAGCTTCTCTGGTCTCTTGACTGGACTATGACAGAATGGCCTCCTCAAGTTCTAGTCTCCTGTGCTACTTTCTAACAGTCTTCACTTGCTCAGACTCCTCATATCCAGTTTTTCCTAATTCATCCATTTCTCTTCCTTCCCTTTTTATTCCTGTCATTTTCCTTTCATCCACTATGCGTCTGAATCCCCCATTGCCTAAGTTCTCCATCACTTAGTTGAACTGTTAATACGACCAATTAAAAAAAATTAACTCATTTAGATCATAGGATCACAGCTCTTCATGTGGAGTACAAGAAAGACATAGCCAAGTTCATTTCATATTCAAGGACATGAACTGGTAATTCATAAAATAAAAAATTCAAAGAGCTAACAAATAATGTGTGAGGGACACAATATTAAAATACAACTATGTGCCCTGAATGGTGGAGCATCATCCCACAAACCACAAGTTTGCTAATTCAATTCCTGGTCAGGACACATGTCTGGGTTGCGGGCCAGGTCTCCAGTTCAGGGCATGCAGAGGCAACTGATCAATGTTTCTCTCCCTCTTTTTCTCCCTCCCTTCTCCTAAAACTTTATTTTACTTTAAAAATAAGTAAATAAAGTCTTTAAAAAAATAAAGTAAAATATAACTATATGTGTTAAGTTAAATTACATTAAAATTAAAAAGCAAGTGTTAACCACTTTTCTTCTTCCTTTCTTTTCTGAGAGGAAGGCTCCTTTGTTGGAATTCCAAGCCTTTGCATGCTGATTGGGGTAATGAGTAGATACAGAGAGATGCAGAAACTAGAGAGGCTAAACTGAGCTATAATATTAAGAATTATAGAAGAAAACAGGGGAATAAATCTTTGCTATCTTGGATTAGGTGATGGATTCTTAGACATGACACCAAAAACACAAGTGACAAATGAGAATATAGGTAAGGTAAGATGGACTTCTTTAAAATCCTCACCCAAGGACATTTTTAATTGCTTTTTAGAGAGAGACAGGAAAGGAGATGGGTAATAGAGAGAGGAACATCGATGTGAGAGAGAAACATGATTGGATGCTTCCTGTACATGCCCAACCTGGGGCTGAAACCAAAACCTAGGTAGGTGCCTTGACTGTGGTAACAAACCTGCAACCTTTCAGTTTATGGGACAGTGCTCTAACCAACTGAGCCACTCACACCTGCCAGGGAAGGTAAGGTGAACTTTGTAAAAATTAAAAACCTTTGTGCCTCAAAGGATACCATAAAGAAAATGAAAAGACAGCCAAGATGGAGGCATAGGTATATAGGCTCTGCTTCCTCGCACAACCAAAAAAAAGGATAACAACCCATTTAAAAACAAAAAACAACCAGAACTGCCATACCTGTCATGTATGGAAGTCCGACAACCAAGGAGTTAAAGAAGAAGCATTTATCCAGACTGGTAGGAGGGGCAGAGACAGGCAGCTGGGGTGGAGAGGATGAACGGCAAGGTGGTGGCTGGTGGACTGGGCTCTCTCACATTCCTGTGCAGATAAACCAGGAGGAACAACTTGGGAGTGAGACAGACTGCACAACCCAGGGTTCCAGCGCGGGGAAAAGAAAAGTACAAAACCTCTGTCTGCAAACACTGTGGGGGTTGCGGTGGTGGGAGAAAATGCCAGTCTCACAGGAAAGTCCATTGAAGTGAGCCATGGGGTCCTAGAATGTATACAAACCTACCCACCGAGGAATCAGCACTAGAAGGGTGAAATTTGCTTGTGGGTTAGCAGGAGAAGTGACTGAAAGCTGGGCAAGAGCTGAGAAAGCAGCATAGTTCCCTCTCTGACCCCTCCCCAACATACAGCACTACAATGCAGCAAAGTGGATTGCCCCTCCATGGCAAATACCTAAGGTTCCACCCCTTACAACGTAACAGGTGCTCCATGACAAAGAAATATGGCCCAAACGAAAGAACAGATCAAAACTCCAGAAAAAGAACTAAGTAATGAAGAAATAGCCAACCTATCGGATGCAAAGTTCAAAACACTGGTAATCAGGATGTTCACAGAAATGTTTGAGTATGGTCGCAAAATAGAGGAGGAAGTGAAGGTTACGCAAAGTGAAATAAAGAAAAATACACAGGGAACTAACAGTGAGGGGAAGGAAACTGGGACTCAAATAAATGATTTGGAACAAAAGGAAGAAATGAACATTCAACTGGAATAGAATGAAGAAACAAGAATTCAAAAAAAATGAGGAAAGGCTTAGGAACCTCTGGGACATCTTTAAATGTTCCAACATCCAAATCATAGGGGTGTCAAAAGGAGAAGAGGAAGAACAAGAAATTGAAAACTTATTTGAAAATATAACGGAGAACTTCCCCAATCTGGCAGAGGAAATAGACATGCAAGTCCAGGAAGCTCAGAGAATCACAAAGAAGTTGGATCTAAGAAGGAACACACTAAGACACATAATAATTAAATTACCCAAGATTAAGGATAAAGAGATAATCTTAAAAGCATCAAGAGAAAGGGAGATAGTTACCTACAAAGGAGTTCCCATACGACTATCAGCTGATTTCTCAAAAGAAACCTTACAGGCAAGAAGAGGCTGGAAAGAAGTATTCTAAGTCATGAAAGGCTAGGACCTACATCCAAGATTACTCTAGCCAGCAAAGCTATCATTTAGGATGGAAGAGCAGATAAAAGTGCTTCCCAGATAAGGTAAAGTTAAAGGAGTTCATCACCAAGCCCTAATTATATGAAATGTTAAAGGGACTTATGTAAGAAAAAGATCAAAACTATGAATGGAATGGGGCACAGTGAGGCTCCCTTCAAAAGGGGGATTTGTAACAGGGTCCAGAACTTGGGGTGTCCAAAAAAAATAAGCTATTCCCCCACTCCAACCAAGGCAGGCTGCCATGGGGGATGGGAGACCTGGAGCAGGGCCACTGAGAGTTACTTTGTGTATCAATAAAAACAGCAGGATAGCTTCAGATCTCATATGAAAAGACAGTTATTTTGCATCTCAACAAGGCTAACCAGGAAGGTTTGCATACATTTTAATGCAGGATATAACTGGAAAGGGGAGACAGGGTCTGGAGAGAGACAATGGGAGACAGACAGGGGGAAACAATGCAAAGACCATGTGGGAAGAAATGGGGAGAAATGACTCTTGATAATGGGCCATGAGAAGGTGCCACGTGGTTTGGATCAAGAACTGGAGATTGTGGCTACACCGCTGATGGTGCTGGGAACCATGGGAGGCCTGCCCAGCCGAGCCCTGGACTTCTGTTCTTTTTCTTCTGAAGGACGGTGCCCCTGACTGGCCTGACTGGGCAAAAGGTGGGGAAAAGCAGGACTGTGTGTGTTGGTGGGTGTTTTTAAAGGGATTTTGAGATTTTAACAGTGACATTTAGCCATTATTCAAAACTGTATAACTTCTGAAAAAACAGTTCCTTTCCTTTTCACCAAAATCTGCCATTGAGAGCCATAATTTCAAGGGCAGCCAGCAAAGAACCTAGAGCAGAGGGATCCCGGGGAAGGGGGGTGTTATTTTGGGAATAGTATCTGGCCGCCCCGCCCCCTGCCCCAGGTCCATTATTCGGTAACATTAACAGTAAAATGAC